TTCATTAACATATATTATTTAATCATAGATAGGTAGTCGACTTACAACAGTTTGTTTAGTGACCGTTTGAAGTTACAATGTCATCGAAAAAAGTGACTTATTACCATTTTTCACACTTACAACTGTTGCAATATCCCTTTGGTCATGTGATCAAAATTCAGATGCCTGGCAACTGACTCATACTTATAACGGTTGCAATGTCCCAGGTAGTGTGATCCCCTTTTACGATCTTCTGACAAGCAAAGTCAACGGGGAAGTCAGATTCACTTAACAACCGTCTTGCTTAGCAACAGAAATTTTGAGCTCAATTGCAGTTGCAATTTGAGGACTACCTGTATTATTCAAGTGCACTAAACACACACAACAAATGAAGGACCAGCCACATGCTTTTTATGGAACCCAATGCAAATTCTTTTTCCATCTATTTGTTGAGTCCCTCTTTGGGGGAGATAGACAGTACAGAAGTGTGAAAATAAATAAAATGGGGTTTTTTTTACAAAATTAAATTTAACAGCAAGTAACAAATATAAGGGCTATGGATTTCAAGTTGCTCAGTGTTTTTCTCAAAGTTTGTACTTACTGTAGTTTGTTAACTCCTAGATGAATTACAGTAATAGAAAAATGACATACCGTGGTATATGAGAAATTGGCAAAATCTGTAAATTTTTATATGAACTTAGATTTAGATTAAAGTAACTTTGGCTACACTGAATTATTTTATATCCAAAAGCTTCAGTTAGGTTCATGTATCAGGCTGTCAATATTCAACAATTTGATCTCAATCCAAAATATCCAATTTTAAAGAAAAAAATAATACCACTCTAAATGCCAGAGGTAAAGTCTACTTCACTTTCTTTAGCCAAAATAAGCATCATTTTTTGTTTCTTTTGTTCCCTACTTGAGAATATGGGAGGAGGAAATTCTGCACTGCTACAGATGTCATAGTGTATACTTTTTATACAAGTTTAAAACTGCAGAAGAATCCAGAATTCACTATATTTTGCCTAACTCCTCAGTAGCTCCTGAAATAATGTTATAAACGGCAACATCTACGAATTGTCACTCCTAATTATTAAAAATGACATAAAATAATAGATCAGCTGGACTTTTTCAGACATAAAAATATTTTTTAAAATATCTCTTATCACTTTTTTTCATATATCAATGCATATATCTGATCCAAATTATTTTGGTTTCTCAGATATAAATCCTCCCCGGTATGTCTTCTGAAAACAAACCAATACAATAGTAATAAATTAAAAATGATCTATGATCTATGGTCTAGATCATAGAAGATTTTTTTTTAAAACAAGATATCCATTCATTCAGTTTCATGTGTTTGTGGTTCCTATCTATGACTCTTGGCTTTTTAGACAGCAATAATACTTTTTAGCAAATAACATGACGTGTGTTCACTGATAAACTGCAAAGGTATGTTGCCATATCTTAAATGTTGAAATCCTCAGCAAAGCAATAAATAAATGAATAAATGGACAGTATTGTACGCTGAATTGTAACTGTCATTTTTTTTTAAAAAAAAGAAAATGTTAAGGAAATAATCTGATATACCAAATCAGCAGTGTTATTACGTTCACAGCAGTAGTAGCTTTGTCTCTGTGTTTTAAGCTTCACAAATGTTTATCAAACGAAACTGATAAAATTTTGTCTCATTTGCAGAAAAAACAGCAATAGTCTGAAAGTTATTGTAGGAACTTAGAAAATGTAATAAAAAAGCTGACATTAAATATACAATTTATATACGTACTACACTTGATGTCTGAAACTTGAGTCGTGGCAACTTGACCTTTTTTTTCTTTTTGGTTTGAAATGTTTCCTGCTTATCTAAGTAACTTCTAAACAGCAAATGACTCAACTTCCAGACAATTCTACCTGAATGACTGAAAATCTTCAGCAACATGCTATACATGGTATATTCAAATGTATAATTTATATAAATTACATATATTATATACCTCTAATATCCTTTCTGTCCTGTTCTTGGGATCACAGAATGGAAGAATTTTTAAAAAATTTATATAACTGATTTGAGAACCAGCCTTGACAACCAAATGCTTTCTATATGTCTTCAACCAGAGCAGCTATCCTTACTGACTACCTACAAGGGGTGATACTTCCATATGTTAAAAGCTCCAGGTGGCAAAGACCGCATGGAACCTTGACACAATTAACCTTTATTCCAGCAAAGATCAACCATTTATGGCAGAAGAGCTCTTACCACCATCAGGTATTAATGACTAAAACAGATACCAGAAGAATAATCAGTCAAGCTGATGAGAAATACAGATTTGCTCTAAATCTGAAAGAAGTTGTACAGGTTTAGAACTAAGCCAAATTCTTGTTGGTTCTTTCAGTATAGATTAAGAAATACTTTATACTAATGTGGTACAGGACCAAAATCTGTTTTGCAATTTTTCAAAAGATGCCTCCTACCCCTCACCCTCAAAGTTTTCTATGCTTGAAAACTTCTTTGTAGTCTTTATTAAATAATATTGAATTATTAGACATGAGAGAGGGTGCTATTTCTGGCACAGTTTTTAATGTTGCATATCTTTTCATCACTCTGAAGATTCTCTGGCTCCAAATTCTTCCGCCAAAACTATGGGCAGAGAAATTGGACATATTATTTATTTTAATGTTTTCAGGGAAAGAAGAACATTTTCAACAAGATTCTCGCCCTTTTAGTGATTAGTATCCTAATGCCCAGTAAATGAGTTGCCTCATGACTTCTCTCCTTGGGGTTAAACTGAAGAATGAGGAGGAGGCTGCACACATACACACAATGAGACAGACACAGAACCCACCCAACCACCCATCTACACATATATATGCCATTTTTGCAAATACAAAATTACCTTTTACAACTTAATATTCTATGAAACCTACTTTTACCTCAACTTTAAATAAGCTATACTATGATTTCAGTAATGTCTTATCTTCAGGTAACTTCATTTAGCGCCTGAATTCAGACTGGAAATGGATTCAAAATGTTGACATTTCAGAATCTCTGAGAAAACAAATAACGGGCAATGATGGTGGTTTTAAAGTTTCAAACTTTGATGTTCCAGAATCTCTATCTTACATTAACAGCATAACATTAGTTTTTATGAGTGGATTGTATGTACACTTGTATGGGTATTAAATTTAATTCTCTATATCACTGCCAAAAGCAGATTTCTGCTGTTTTATATTGAATATAGTGCCTTCTCAAACTAGTTGTGCAACCAGTATCTGAAATAGCATCACAATCAATCCTTGCCAATATTCATAGCAATAAATTCTTAAATATTATGCCTTTTGTATGAACACTGTATTTCTTAAGCAAACAGCTCCAGACTGTTCCATTTTACTAACTCCCAGATCCCAGTTTAGCTATCAAAAAGTGATTGGTTTATTTAATGGACTATCAGGGACATTAACTATAATTGATACAAATATCACTGAACTTTTCCATTGCTCTTTCACAATGATTTTGTTTCCATTAAAAGAGAAAACATTAATACATTAATTATCAACAATGTGTTGATTCTAATGCCAGAAATTATGGGCTACTACAGCACCATATAATGTCAAGTCTTTGTTAAAGACTACACTTAGAAATTGACAATCTTGAAAACGCTGTTACTGAAAAATATATCAACTTGTTTTCAAATGGCAGCCTATCTTTCTTTTGCTAAGGTCTAAAGCCATACAGTTTTGTATTCCACTGTGTGCTATAGGAATCGCTGAAACTTAATTACATTTACTGTTACAAAAAATAGTTTATGAACTTTTGCCTTCAGGCAAAAATGTTTATTTCATTGCCTTTGCTATTCATCCTTTTCAACTCTATTGCCTTTGAACTCTTCAGCTGCACAGAGTTATCACCATGGTACAGAAACCAGGAAGTGTGCTCTGGAGATGCAGACCTCAAGTTGCAGAAAATGAAAAAAGCGAAAGATATAGGAGTCGTTATTTTGGCCACCCTTTGTGCTATTAAAATCTCATTTTCTGCCTATTAGAATGCCCTCTTACTGCTTACGCAGTGGTGATAGTCAGTGATTAGTGTGTAATTCAGTATAATTGTCTTTTCACTTTTCATTTGTGTCATTCCAAGCTTCCTTCTGTTTTTTTTTAACCCCACAGAGAAAGAGCAGAAAGAAAATAAAGCTGTTAAAATTCTCACATCCCTGAAGAGATTTCCTGATTGTAATTATAGATTGCTTCCTCCCCCCAATTCTGTGACATTGCTCAAAATTCAGTGGATACTTCTCCAAAACACCTGTGCTAAATCCACACTAATAGAATAAACTGCAGAATATTTTACCAGAAACTAATAATGTCAAGCTGAAGACTTGTGCCAGAAGAAGGAAGTTTAACCAACCTTTTCTGGCACTCAATTATCAAGGCAATTTATTAACATGATCATCCAAGAAAATCTCATGCAAATTAGGAAAACAATTATGTCCTTCAAGTCATTATAAGCTTCCTGAGAGCAGTAATGCTCTTAATTTATGTATTCATAATTTGATTATAGCTCAGCTTAATGTGGATTGCTCATCAGCTGAGGTAATGAGCAACCTACTCCTAAGGTTAAATTTAAACAGGACATATCTTTTTCATTATTTTCATGACAAAGAATCAAGACCAAAAATCAATGATTCTGTAGAGTTTTTTTTTAAAGAAAAGACAGGGAAAGGGAAAAAAATCAACTTTAAAAATATATATTATGGAAACATCATACATGCCTGACAGCCGAATACAAGCAAAAAGGCTTTGGGATTGCATTATGAAACATTGCCTTAAACTAAATATAAGCTATGACTTTTGATTCTGTCAGTAGAAAAGGGAGGAGGAAGGAAACTAGCAAACTGAAATCATGTGGCTTATATAAAGAATACTTTATGGTTTAAATTTGGCAAATCATTGTATGATGGCCTTGGGGAACAGACAATTTAGTTTGGGTATACAGCAAATCCTGTGTCTGAAAAAGCAGGACTGACCTGAGGTGAAAGGCCATTGCCAATGGCAGGGTTCATAGGATTTGAGGGCCCGGAAGGAGGCACAAAGCTGTCTGTATAGCTGGAAAAGCCGTGCCTTGTGCTTGGTAGGCAGTAGGCAGAGCTGCTGTCTGGATTTGAAGGAAGGCTGCTTTGGTGTACCGTGCTTGGTGGAAGAGGCTGAGGTCGGTGAACTGTACTGCTTGGGTCTGACACAGCTGCAATGAAAAGGGACACAGGTATGAATCTCCTCATTTCCCCATTCAAAAGCCAAACCTAGATCATAGAAAGGATCACCCAGACCAGTTCCCAATATTCAAAACCATTCAGTGTTGAGTACACATCATGTGTAAAACCATTATATAACCTATTCTGTTTGGTTTAGCTTGTTCAAACTCAGCCAAGCTCATTCTTAGGATCACTTGGACTATAATGGAAGAGCAGGTTTTGGAGATTGGAGTCATATTTTTGTTTCTTACATGTCCGCCTTCCCCTTTGCGCTTCACTTCCTTACACATGTTTTGAGTCAGGAAAACCTTAGTTTTTAAAATAGATAAGTGATGCAAGGGAAAGAGAAATAGGAAGAAGGAAACAGGGAAGGGAGTCCAAGACATGAGTCCAAGACATGAGACAAAAGCATTAGGAGTACACTGAAATTTTGAAAGAAACTTATCGAACTATTGAGATAATTAACATATTATAAAAAATATAACTCATCAAACTTTAGAAAGGAAGTCATTAATTTAGGAAACTCTCAGATTGATCACTTTCATATGATTCCAAGTAACTCTAGGACTGTATCAGTAAACTATGAGACTGTAAGAACTTATGTTTAATGAAACTATTAGGAGATTCTAACAATGGATTCAAAACTCTGAGTTTTCTCAGCTATAATTCAGAATTCCTTGTTTAAACAACAGAATCCATGACAACAACTGATTTTAAGTTTTCTATAATAAAGCACATGATTGTTTAATAAAGTTTCAGGGCTCTTCAAATTCCGGTCTGGCTTTTGTCTGCTCAAATATTATATCCAACTTTTGTCAGAATTTATTCTTGGAGCCAGCATCAAACATAGCGTTTACCATTATAAAACCGTTACCTTCAATGATGGACCAGAATGGGTGATGAACCTGATCACGCTACAATTCATAACTCTCCAAACATATGGAAATATAATAGTTTTCATCCCTAGCCACACATCTAGAAGTTCTCCAATTGGAAAGGATAAACATCTGAAATTGATTTCCAGATTTCACCTTCCATGTTAACACTGATCCACTGAAACCAGTGTAAACATTTAAGACATGTAATTATAATGTTTTTTTCAGATATTCAGAACCACAGAGGACTAAGTAATATGTCAAAGTATAGTTCAAAATAATTTTTCAAGTCTACCTTGTGGAATAGAAGTAGGCTGATAGGAAGATTCTGACAACTGATAAGTTGGCAGAGTTGGCATGGCAGAGGGTGGGAAGCCTCCTGGAATCAAGTGATTGAAAGCCATCAGTTGATTGGCTCCAGCTTGCTTCCTCCATCTGGCTCGACGATTACTGAACCAAACCTAGAAATAGTTGAAAATAGCTTAAATCATTTTGAAATACATTCAGCATTTGTCAGATTGTATTGATATATGACTTACTTGCATTGGATTGGATTAACTAAAAGACTTATGAAAGTTTTAACTAATTCAGAATTAAGGGTCACTGTACATATTTGAATGAATAGAGTATGCCCAATTATACTAATTATTAAAATATATCAGTTTTACCTCAAAAGCTAGTTAGTATCCATAAAACCTTATTTGTCTCATGTTTCAAGGTTGTTTTTTCAAAAGGCAACTGAACTTTTTCCAACAGGAAGAGGAGGAGGAAGAGGAGAAGAAGGAGAAGGAGAAAGAGAAGAAGTTTTGCTTCTCATCCAAGAAGCTTCATCGGTTCTGGTTGTTCATTCTGTTCATCCGTTCTTTTTCCTCAAGGAAAAAACAGTCCAGTTGCCTTTTGAAAATCTACCTTTGAGAAAGCTCTGACCTGGATGACTGAAATCTACACAAACATTTCATTTCAAGATGCTATTTATCCCATATCTAAGCTGCATCTATTCTATTCTAGATATTTATTCTAATATTTTATAAAGATAGCCTTATCCTGGGTTAAGTTAGTTGTGGCGTGTGAAAAAGCCTAATTTGTGATTGTATTCAGTGTTAAATACACTCCATTAAAGTTCTTTACCTGCTTATTCTTTGCACTGTGAAGATTCTTCTATTTAACTGGACATTTTATTCTAGTTGTAATTATTTTAATTTACCTGTCAACAGTTGTAATTATTATTTTAATTTGCCTGTCAATAGTATTCAGTTATTCTATTTATTTTACTATTTTCATTATCCAAATAACAGTAATTATTTTTAATTAATTGCCACTTTTTTATTACATTTTCTCATTAAGAAAACATGCCTTTTCTTAAAATAAAAAGACATATTTCCTTAGTGTGTTTACATTGACCAATTTTAGTTTAAAGAACAATCATCTGAGTTTTCAAATTTAGGACATACCTTTCTGATTTCACTTAATGCTTCACTTTTTCCCTATTGTGCTAACAAAATATCCAGGTTATGAGTTAAAGGACCAATTTCTTGAGACCATGTTTTGTCACATTTGCAATACTGCCTCAAGATATTTCTACCATTGATATAAAATACAAGACTGTGCATCACTATTATTCCATTTATGAACTAGAAATTGAATCTTACCAATACAAGATAGCACCCTTTACTGACATACCATTTGCCACTCTCTTGTCACTACCTTCTTTTTCAAGAACCAATCATTTCATGATTGGGGTGACGTGCATATTCTCCACAACAAAGGAAGTCCTGCTGTGTTTCCTTCCAAGTATATGAAAATGAGCCACCAGTGAACACAGGGCTTGAAACACATTTCTTTCTATTCATTCCTCCACCCCATCTTTCAGCCTATAAAGGCATACCCTCCAGTTCATAATTGTTCTGAAAAGTTAATTGGACCAATATGAAGATGGGAGATCCATTGCTAATGAAAATAAGCATAACTACATCACAACAACATTAGAAAGATACAAATTTTCCTCTGATACACATCCTTGTCCATATCTAGATCACGATTCCTTATATATTTCAGTACTTTAGAAATATTTATTCTCTTACAATTTTCTAAAAAGACATTGTCAATCAAAAGCATGATAACTGGGATGATCTGAGAATAAGAACATCATAGTGGGAGGGCACCAGGCTGGGGAAGACACACACATACACACACACACACACACACACACAGAGAGAGAGAGAGAGAGAGAGAGAGAGAGAGACAGACAGACAGACAGACAGACAGACAGACAGACAGACAGACAGACAGACAGACAGACAGAAAGCCATGGGGTTGTGTCTGCAACATAATGACAAAGGAGATGATGGGACATTTGCCATATTGTGTGTATTGGTGTATGTTTATGTCTCAGTGTATTTTTGTGCTACCTTTGTGATACTATTGCAGTGGCAAACTTCCTAATTTTGTTTTTCCTGTTATCCAAAATTCCATCATTCTTTCCCTGTCTTTTTTGTTCATATCCTTCCAGCCTTTAATTTCCATTACTTCCAATCTTTAGCTCCCCCTCCTTGTCATTTCTTTCATGGCCACTGAAGCAACCTAAAATTAAATAAATACTTCAGATATACAGTATTACAGCAAAGAGGGAGGCACATTTTCTGGCTTAAATTAGATGTGTCTCTATCAATGCACTAGTCTTTTGATTTGGTATGTATTTGGCATTCATCCTTGTAAAGCTCAGGCTCTGTTTAGAGGAAACTATCCTCTATTGTCTTGATAAATTCTCTTTTCAAACATTTTGCCTATTTGAATGAGAGATCTTGTTCCCTTAAAAGCACATTGGTAATTCTCTGTTTAGGATAAGGCAGTTGAAATGTCACGGCCAATTTCACGAAGTTAAGCCTGGGGGAAGAACCACAGCTTTGAAAGGATACCCGGCCAGCATCAAGGGAATAAGATCTTGCCTTGTCCAGTTATAAACTACTTCAGAGAAAAATGATAACAAAGGAAAAATGTAAATATTGGGAAATTGAGTTGGAAATCATCTGCAAGGTCATCTAGTCTGTTTCATTCCAAAGCTGAATATATTGGACCGATACATCCAAACCCATTGAAATGCCTGTCCTATTTTTCACATGGAATTTTGCTGCAGCCCATTGCAATTTATTGTTAAGAAAAACATTTATTTGATCATGCTGGTTGTGGAATTCTGGGAGTTGAGGTCCACACCTCTTAAAGTTGCTGAGGTTGAGAAACACTGCCCTAAACTATAAATAAGACATTGCTTAATTGTGTTCATGAGTCTTTATTATGTGAAATATAGTTAAGATCGAAAGCTTGAATTTCTGGTGTGTGACTTGAACTTAAACATCCAAAAAGCAAAGTGCCAATACTGGTTGAAGATAACATAGTTTTAATATGAGAAAATTTGCATAGAAAAATTCAGAATGCTTTCTGACACAGTGATGAGTTGTAACAAGTATTAAATGGTCATCACTAAATGTTAATCCTGGAAATACTATGCCAAAACCAAAAACATTTTGCACCATAAACTCTCAAAATACTTCCCTGTAAATTTTGGTGCCAAATATTTTCCAGATCTGATATCCAAGAATATTATTTAACACTGAATAATGTTTAATAAAAGTAGTCCTTTTACACTGTAGTTAACAGTTACAGTGTTACAGTGACACTGAAAAACATCACTTATGATCAGTCTTTACATTTAGAATATTGCAGCAGTCCCTGATTCATGTGATCACTGTTTGTGACCTTTCTAGGAGGGTTCCGACAAGCAAAATCAAAGCAGGAGCCCAGATGTGCTTAATAACTATGTGATTTGTCTAACAACAGCAGTGATTTGCTTAACAACAATACTGATTTGCTTAATGACCACAGCAAAATAAGTCATAAAATTGTGCAAACTTATTTATTTACCATGCCTTAGCAACAGAAGTTCCAATTCAAACTATAATAGATATATGTCGTTTGTTGTCATTTTTTACTGTGGGCACAATGGCACACATTAAAAATGAAATTTTGTTGCTTGCTTTTAAAAGTGTACACGTACATAACACACATTTAAACATGCTATATACAACATATGTATAAACCTATACCCTTACTTATAAAAAACATATAAATATTAATCACTGTCTATCTTGAATAGATAGTGGAAAGAGGAAGCTTTAGAGTTCACTAGGTTAATACTGTATAGAACAAAACTATGACTGAATCTGGATGTTCTGCTTCGGATACCATGGAGCCTCCTCCCAGAAGGTAACAAGCAAAAGAGGTCGTGAAGAGGATATGAAGAGATCATAAGTTGAGGACTACTTTATGAGTCACCTGGTGTTTTATATTGACATTTGACAGCCAATCGTTGTTAAAGTTCTAAAGGGAGTAATATTTGCAGACAATATTTTTTACATTGCCCATCCCAAAGAGCTATAATCTTGCTGCAGTAATTGGACAAGAGATTAGTTAATTTTTTTCCCCAAAAAAATTATTCCAAAACAAAATCCTTGATCAACAGCATTTGGTTCCGTTTACTTATTTAGCAATTTACTTTATTCAGGATTTTTATTGCTTTTTTAACAATTCCAAATCTCATAACAGGTTAATATATCTATCATTATAACTTTATGTACATACTTTCTTACTGCCTCTGTCTTACCTATGTTCCCCTGGTTTATATATTTGCCACCATTAATGTAAATCTTTTTGTAAAACTGAATATAGTTCAAATAATAGCCATTCAGCAAATGCAGCCCTTTTTGAACCACTCTTTACTAGCAGATAACTTTTTCTGGCTGCAACTTAAGAATTTCCTCAAGTATGAATTGAAGTATTTATGTGACTACAGAAGCACCAAGATTTAAACAGAAATGTGCCTTTGAGCATACAGAGAGACCTTGGAGGTATGGTGGTTGGGAAGACAGAGTCAAGAGCTCTCTGGAGTTTTCTATTTCAATAGTGCAAAGTGGCACTTAAATGCCCAGCTCTTCTTTTAATTCCCAAAAGTTCACCTCCTCTGATACTTTAACCATTGATTGATTGGGGTTGTTCCCCCCTTTGTGCTGTTTTAAGAGGAAAGTCCATATGTTCTACACAGTAGAAAATTTGGTAGACTGGATATCACCGGAGTGAGTGTGAGACACAATGTGTCTCAAGGGAACCAAAAAAAACCATAAGGCATGTAAAATGTCACAGGGTTAAAGCCACATTAAGACAGCTGTTATGTTAATGAGACTTCTGCTTTTCTTGTAGCTGTGAGTCACTGCATTAAAAAAATATGAATGTTGATGGTCCTCTTTAAAGCAGACATCCCAGAACTGAATATGCAAATATTTAAAGTAAGGAGTCCAAATTTGCAGAGTTTTTTAGTAGTTAATTCTTAGGCATAGTTAATTTAATTTTCAGTTTCAATATCTGAAACAAGCAAATATTTTTAATGATCTGTTTTTATGTATTTATCTTTTATACCTTCGGTTTTAAAAGATAAAAATGAGGTCCATCACATGTGTTTAAAAATATAAATCACACTGATTTTCTTACCTTCAACAGTTACCTAAATAAATTAAGCATCAAAGGTGGGGTCCACCCAACAGCTTCTTTCAGCACTACCAAATGTTCTGATAGCTCCTCAAAATAAAGTATGGTCTTGCAACATAGCTTATCTCATAATTCTTCACCAAGAAAAAAAAATATTTATAAAAGAAATATTTGTTCTCCCATACAACTAATAGAAGAAGGCTGTTTGAAAGTTTTAGGACAATACTCACTTGAACCCGAGCCTCCGTGAGTTTAGCTCTTTGTGCAAGTTCCTCTCTGGTGTATATGTCAGGATAATGAGTCCTCTCAAAAGCTCTCTCCAGCTCTTCTAACTGTTCTGCTGTGAAAGTGGTTCTGCTTCGACGTTGTTTTCTCTTCAGGGGCAAATCTGGCTCAGAATCAATGTCAGAACCTTCATCTGATTGTTGTGCTGAAGCTAGAAAGCAAGCAAACAAGCAACGGAGCAATTAATATTGGATTGGGAGAGCAGGAGAAAAACAACGAGAACTAGCACTAAGCAAAGTGTGTTTTCTTCAAATAACAGTAGTCCAATTTTAAACAATAAGCAGTCTTGGGATAATTAATCTTAGAGCACGCCACAACATATTTCCTTCAAATGGCTAAATAATTCTTTATAGAAACTTCAGAAAATATAGTCGTTTTTCTTCCTTCTGCAATATCTGCAGGCACAGATTACAATTTTCTTACAGGGCTTATTTATTCAAATATATCCAGCATATTTTTCCCCAGTGATTTCAAAAATTTGACACCTAAGCTATGCAAATTCTAGGTGTGCTGTAATTAATCCAATAAATTTGTATGGTCTCTTAACTCAAATCATACATATAAGGCTGTCTTTAGTGAAGGAGTCCCTGCCAAAGACTTCCCACTTAAAATGCAAAGTGGGTTTTTATTATTAGTGGGCTAGGGTTGCCTTTCCAGCCATCTAAGGCCACTTAGTTCCTCCATGCACTATTCATGGTTTCACCATAACTGATTAAAATTGTCTAGTTTGACACAATGCATTAAAATATTAATTATAACCTGCAAATCATAATGGTTTAGTTCTAAGCCAAAACCATTCAAAACACATTAGAGTTTAGCATGTTGAATAAACATAGCCAATGGCTGTAACTCTTTGCTTTTATAGGATTACTCATTTCTGTCTTAGTAGATCCTAAAAACTGAAAGCTCGAAACAGGAATGAAAAATTAAAATTAATTCATCCCAAACAAATGTCTATATTTGGTATATTTACATAAAGTGCATGCCTTAAACCAATATAAATATATAAGAACATAATAAATGATTTTCAGATTAATTAGTTTACATCTTCTATTTTGCCCAATTTTGGGAACTAATAACCAGCAACCTTTCCAGCACTGATGCCCTCATAACTCTTTTTAGATACATTCTACTCTAAATTGCAATTTCTTTCCATTCTAGAATCTTTATTGTTGTGTTTATTGCTCAATCATCTAGGTCATTGTTTCTCAACCTTGGCAACTTCAAGATATGTTGACTTCAGCTGGTGAATTCTGGAGCTGAAGTCCACACTACTTAAAGTTGCCAAAATTGTTTGTAAGGGAGCCATTCCTGCATGACTTTGGCTAGAGTACTGTTCTATTCTTGCTGGCACTTTGGACTTTGATATTTAGCAAATGCATTTCTGGGTCCAGATGATTCCCACTAACTTGATGCAGAAACTAGTAGTTAGCACACTGAAAAACATCAGACATGATTGTGAAGCAGAGAGCAAATTACAAGATAATCTGTAGATGTGTTTTACTACTACTAGCACAAGAATAGAGAAATACATTGTTTTTTTCTTGTCGTGGCTGATAAAAACAAGCTGACAGTATTTGCTTGGAATCAAATCCTGGAAAACTATATCTGTGGTATCCAGTAGCACATCTGAGGTGCTGTTACTAGACAAGAACCTTTTTAAATTTAAATAGAGGGATTCACCATAGGCTTCTTTAATTGGTAGTCAATATAATTCATAGAAATAAATGTGAGATGAGAAAATGAGATTGTGGCTGTTCTGGTTCCTCATCTGTTTGCTGGCGACTTTGATTCTATGCATAACTAAGTCTTCCTTCCTGGTAATTAGGGAATGATAGTGTCCACTGAAGATTAGATGGAATACACAGAGAGAGACATGCAATAGGAGATATGTCACATGCAACCTAGATGAAGAGAAGCACAATCTCTGGTGATGGTTACAGTTGTTCTGCCAGATGGAAAGTTTCTGACAAACCTATTGATCTGTCTTTTTACCCATTCATGTTGGTCCTGAATGCAAGTTCAGCATAATAATTAGTAAATCTTTGTTGCCAAAGGTTAATTATGGATAGATAGCCCAATCTGGTTTGTATCAGGAGGGTAGAGGTAGGAAGTTTGTTGTCCCCCACCATGCTCACAGGTACTTAGGGTGAAGATGGGATGTAGATAATATTACAATTCCTTCTTTTTGCTTTCTACATGATTGTGTAGCAATCTGATATATATTTTATGTTGGGCTCCTGGATCAAGATCAAGTGAAGTGTTAATACCACTTTACAATGCCTTGGTAAGGCCACACTTGGAATACTGCATCCAGTTTTGGTCACCACGATTTAAAAAATATGTTGAGACTCTAGAAAGAGTACAGAGAAGAGCAACAAAGATGATTAGGGGACTGGAGGCTAAAGCATATAAGGAACGGTTGCTGGACTTGGGTATGTCTAGTTTAATGAAGAGAAGGATGAGGGGGGGACATGATAGCAGTGTTCCAATATCTCAGGGCTGCCACAAAGAAGAGGGAATCAAGCTATTCTCCAAAGCACCTGAAGGCAAGACAAGAAGCAATGGATGGAAACTGACCAAAGAGAGAAGCAACCTAGAATTAAGGAGAAACTTCCTGACAGTTAGAACAATTAATCAGTGGAAATTTTTAAGAAAAGATTGGACAGCCATTTGTCTGAAATGGTATAGGGTTTCCTGCCTGAGCAAGGGTTGAACTAGATGATCTCCAAGGTCCCTTCCAATTTTACTATTATTATTATTATTATTATTATTATTATTATTATTATTATTATTATTATTATTATTATTATTATTATTATTACTATTACTACTACTACTACTACTACTATCAACTTGGGCATCCTGCCACTTTACTTATGCATATGAAAGGTTTATATGCACTATTTATCCTTCTCACCAAGCATTCTCCCTGCCTGAATTGACAAAGGTGGTCCAGAGGTTAGTGCTGAATATAGTTGTCTTAGGGATCAATATCCATATCCTGACCAACATTCTGGAGCAACCTACACATAAGGCCCCAATTGTGCTTGTCCTTAGGAAAACCATTAAGACTGGGGGGGGAGCTCAAGCTCTTAGGTCCAAGTTCCCCTTTTGGTTGTTTTTATTATTGCATTTAGTTGCCATTTTATACATTATATTACTTGAGGGACTACTTCTCTTGGTAAGAGAGGTCTGGTCGGAGAGGCATGTTCCCAGTCCCATCTGCTAGGGAATGCCAGCTGGCAGAACCCAGGGAAAGAGCTTTTCCTGTTGGAACATCATCCCCCAAGAGATCAGATTGGTCTTAACCCTTTCCTGACTTTTTGTTATGCCTTAAAGACTTGGTTTTGCCATCTGCTTGTGGTAGAACCTGTTATTATTTTTGTAGTTGCTGGTTTTTAGCATACCTGGCTAGAGACTGTGTCATTATATAGATGTTTCTATTTTGTATTTGTGTGTGTGTGTGTGTTGTTGTTTTGTCTTGTTTTGTATTTATTTTTGTATTGTTGACATTTGGGGGGGAGCTGCTTAGTTGCTGTGAGCCATATGGTTCACAGCAACTAAGCAGCCCCCCCCCCAAATGCCAACAATACAATAACAAATACAAAACAATACAAAACAACATACACAGAGAGCTATATAAATTGCAATAGTAAATAAATATTTGGGGCTTTTAAAATTATTATTAAGTTTTTATCCTGCCTTAGTTCTTTGTTGTTGTTGTTTTTGGTTGGGCACCACATTGTTTGAGTTGGATGACCTTACAAATTTAGTAAATGTAAATAAATAATAAATATAATTAACTGAAAACAGGTCACCCACAGGATTCAATGATATCCAATTCTCTAGCATATGTTCTCAAATAAGTTGAAAGACAGCTGGAATGCAAATACAGAACAAATTCAATCAAGCACATAGAAATCCTTTTAAAAGAGTACTCCACAGTGTAACATAGGAGAAGAATGTCTGTTTTTCTAGTATTATTCCCCTTAGCACCTATAAGTAAGATTTTCTGAATGAAAGGAGTTTTAGCAATTTCTTTGCTTTCTTTAAAAAAAGAAAAAAAGGAGGAACTGGACTGCTGCATGTATTTATTTATCTTCTGTAATTAACTAAAAATATAAACAAGAATTAAACATTTAAAACCAATTGAACATGGAGGTAAGAATTAAAAAGCAGGAGTTCTGTCACTCTAGCTAAGCCTTATCACTTCAAACTGGCCAGAACTAGACCACTGCTAAACCACCTTCAACATGTCATTCCAGTGTCTCCAAAGATCTTGTTTCCCATTCACATCCCTGCATGAAACACTGAGTTATGGGATTTTCCAATACCTATCATTGGTGGTCTTTATCCTGCCACCAGTCAAACATCTGTGTATGAGTTTTAATGATATGCTTGAATTAAGATTAATGAATCTTAAAAGTTGTCATATAAGGATAATTTTGAATATATTCAATCTAGACAAATTCTTTTCCTCCCTCCATCCCCTCTGCTGATCTTAGGATCCAAACAATCTCACTGTTATCAGCTCTGCAAAGCTTACTTAACTTTATCTATTTAACCAATTTGGAGTCCTTCTAACTCTTAAGGACTCTACACAGCTCACAATTTAAAAAGTAGGACAACTATCACAAAAGAAAAAAATATTCATGATCATCCTGAAGATAGACATATAAACAAAAAGCTATCCAAAAGAGGCTCAACCATCGCCCTGACCCAAGTCTTGGACAGCAGAAAAGTCTTCACATTCAGGTCCTGAATATCATCAAGGTAAGAGCCATCCAGATAGAACAGTGGAATTGGTGCTTCTTTATTTAAACATAAGAGGAGAAACCCATACGTTACAAAAGAACAGCCATGAAGTTTATTTTTTTCTTAAAAGAACTAAAACTAAATTGAGTGCTTCTTTGTTCCTTATCTCATTGTGACCTGTCTGATATTTCCAGAAAATATTTCAGCAAAGTTAATAGTATTAAACACTAATTCTTTGTATTATTTCATAGGAATTAGGTCACGTATAATGTGTAACTTGTCTACCTTGTATACCTCAGCAGTTCAAAAATATTACTCGCAGTTAACAAATACCACCCCCCCTAGGAACACCATAAACAAATATATCTAGAGAAACACTGTACAACA